AGGGACATATGAGCTTTCCTGCTGCTTCAAGGTGCAGTCCTCAGGGGCAGGGGAAAAATCTAATTATTTAAGTGCTTATTCTCTTGGAGGTGAGGAAGGTTATGGTGAGAGAAGAGGAAGGAATGAAAAGGAAAAAGAAGGGAAGGAAATTGATCACGTTAAGGAGGTTTACCTTCCTGCCATATACCCTGTGAAATCTTGGCCCCATTCCAGTCAGTGCTATTGCTTTTGTTGACCCGTTAATACACCCAGAAACCCATTCAGTCTCTCAGATGGTTGGGGCTGGCTTTTCTAAGTGTCTGAAACTTATCTGAATGTTTTTGACACACTTCAAAGCTACAGTAGTTTAGATAGTTGTGGTTGCATGGATAGGTGCATGAAACATGGAAACAGAAGAATATACTCAAGGAGAAACCAATGGAAAAATAATATTTTGATGTGACAATGTGGAGGATAGGATGAAATTTTCCAGCAGTGGCAAGGAAATTGTAGGTAGATCTAGATAAATTGTATGATTTGAAAGTCTAAACTGCTGGAGCTAATTGCAGCTGTTTTAAATAATGAGATAATGTCAAGATTCCAGAAAGATAAAATGACAAAGTGCAGCTGTTGATAATTAATTGATGCTCCCCCTGAATAATTACAGAATCTTGGCCTTAAGTGGGAAATTAAGCTTTTCAGCTTATTTTCCTAGCTACTTTTTTTATTTTGTTAAAGCAGCTGAGCCTCTCAGGCATGAACGAGACCTGTCTTGAGTAAGAGACTGGGTAAATCAGTTTGTTTTGAACAATTGGTTGAATTTTTAATTCATGTTCTGCAGTGGGATCTCTTTGCTGTGTCTGCCCCTTTGGATAGGTTATTGCCATAGTAATAGAATCCCTGGCATCCACTGCAAGACTTAACATGTGATATTAAAGGTGAACTGTAATGCTTTTAAAAATAAAGCCAAAACTATGTTTTAAGATTGTAAATCACTAAGAGAATACATGGGTAGGCTTAATACAAATAAAACACACTTAAAGAAAATATGTGAACAGAGCTTCCTCTTCTTGATCTATAGGTGTAAATCCTCCCCCAGCATTTTTTTCAGGACTTAGAAACTTGTGGGTCCAGGGGGCCTTGTAGAAACTACTGCAGAAGGAACATTGGGCTCTAGGGCTGCTTTCTCTTTGGTCTAGCTGGCAGGGTAAAACCATCAGGAGTGTTACAGAGGTGAAAAGATGCCCCCCAAGCAGCAGTAAATGTTGTCAAATGTCTATTGTTTAAAGTCAGTGCTACTACTAAGGTATACGGAGCATGAAAGATGTTTGATCATAAGTCTGCATATTCTGTGGCTCCATTTTCTTTATGCCTCCGAAGTAAAGAGCTGAGAGGTAGTGTATGTCAGAAGGCAGCCACCTGCCTGCTGATGGTGAATAGTAAGGGAAGAACTGGCTGAGCAGGAGCATATAGAACCACACAGGGTGAAACTTGGAGAAAGTGTCAAGGTTACAAACAAGGAGAAATATTGAACACTGCTGTGAGCAAGTAGGCTGCCTCCACACTCTACGGTCTCTTTCCCCTTCCTCATAGTTACCGCTTTCTTTCTCACACAGTGGAGTGCATGTATGTCACACAGTTACTTTGCTTCAGTTTACCTATCTTTGAATCCTATCTCAGGTTTGGAAGTTTGAGAGTATTACTGAAGTAATCTAATGCACAAAATAGCATAAAAATAAAGCTTTCTTCAGTGTTTTCAGTAAGACTGGCATTTCAGGCAGGCAGAATTATTAATTGACTTATAAAGAAAAAATAGGGAAGCACTTCGGAATATATACAAGCAGATGCGCATATTGAAGGGCATAAACCCATGACCAGTGTGAAGAAAAGTCTCCCCTTTACAGCTGCATACTGTAAAAGTTTGCCTGAACTGGCAAAAATCAGAACGTGTACGGAACTTGCTGCGTTGCTACTCTGAGCCAGTATGGTCTATGTTAGTAATCAGCAATTAGTATTTGGTATGTTTTTTAAAGTTACACACATATTCTTAATGATTTCAAATGCTTAGTGTTTCTTAATAGCTCTCAAATAATTCAACTTTATTTCTGAGACAGAAAGTCGTCCTCCCAAAAAGGTTTTGTACGCTGCTTGTTGAACCAAGGTGGGTAGGTTTCCTCTGCAATTATTAATCATATTTGTTACAGTACCAAAAAGCCAGGAATGACAATTCCCACTTTAATTCCCACTTTTTTTGCTACTTACTTCCTCTCTCCTCCTCTAATAATACACATGGGGACTGAACCGAACCAGAGATACTCAGAACTAAAGACAGAGGTGGCATACTCCTATATAAAGAGCTATGCTCTCTGGTCTCCAGGGAAGCAAGTCATAAAATTAACTAATTCGGTATAGAAGCTTTTCTGCTTATAATTGCCTCATTTATTCCTCCTAACCTTTGTTCTTTGGACTAGAGTATGTACCTTTTTACAACTGTGCATTATACCAGATGTTTTGTGTAGTATTAACGTATTCTTTCAAAACAAAGCCTGCGTGTTCCTAAGTCCCATCTATGCCTGTTTCTTTACTTTTTTTGAGAGAGCTTTGCTCAGTGGATATATACAGTCTTCCCTTCTTTTACTTATTTTATAATGAATAAAACAGAAATCAAGACGTTTATCATGCTATATCCCAGAAATCCTTCAAGATACTAATCAGCAGTTCTTACAAATGTGTATATACCTTGCTTTCTTTGATGCTGAGGCCTTATAAAAACATTGTATATAAAAGGATAATATATTTACATAAGTGCCTTTAGTATCAAAACTAACAAAATTATAACAAATACCAAATTTTGCTTAAGACATTTCTTAAAGTTTAAAAACTCAAGGCATGTAATATATGTAGCAGAATAGATCATTGTAATGTTAAGGTTCCTGTTCATCATTCAGCAACAATAACTGGAAAATAAAAATACTACAAGCCCTATGCACAAACAAAATCTACTTTCTGGTCATCTCGCTTCCTGCTTGGAACCAAATTCCTTTCAGTAAAACTACTTGAATGAGTGAGATCAGATTTGATCCTCATGGGCTGAAGGTAAAAGAATAAGCTGTAGTTTTTTTGCTGCTGTTTTCCCTGAGCTATGAATGTATTAACAATGAATTTTTTAAATAAATCAATTATTTAAAACTGGTATTGAACAAAAATATTAGTTGCAAATGTCGTCTGGGTAAAACTTTGTGTTCTTTGAGTTCACTGGAAAAACTCAGTACTTCAACTGTCAGTATTTCACTTGCTGTGTATGTATCTTAAATACTATACCGCATGCCTCTGAGAATGAGCAGGGGAAGGTAAGTTAGGTATGTTTATTTAACAACAAATAATTAACAATATATTTTGAAACTTATTCAGCCATTTTTGGTGAAGTATGCTTGAGCTGATAATTTTCTCTGTTTGAAAATGTCAGCCATAATATTGTGAGAATCATCAGTTAGTTTATCTGATTTTTTTTTAAGGGGAGGCTCAGAGGTGCATTAAGCCTTTTTTGTTTTTTCCTCAGTCTTTCTCTCTTCCAGTGCTGTATATAAGCCAAGGAAAAAAGTGAGATTTTTGTTGTCCTTAGTGGTGTCCCTCCTTAGAAACACTGTAGAGTGAGATGTTGTATTGATGCATGGTTTATAATGAATTGAAGATTCATGAGTGGGTTGATGGGATGCAAGCATCCCCATTGATGGATGTTCTGGTGGAACTTCTGTGACATGACATCCTTTTCAATTTTTTTTATTTTTCTGTTGCTGGATCCAATTAATTGACATTTCCGTTAGGAGGGCAGAGTTTGTCTTGTGTTCTCATATTTTATGTAGTTTAGTTGTGACCGGTGACCTACTAAAAACAAACTCAGCAAACATGTTTGACATTTCTTTTTCAGGAAATGTAAGCTTATATAATGTTCTTTTTTTCTTTAAAAGGTAACAGATTCCCCAGCAGATGTAGCAGAAAGAGCAGACAGAATTATTACCATGCTGCCTTCTAGTCCCAATGCGATAGAAGTTTACACAGGAGCAAATGGAATTCTAAAGTAAGAATTTGCTGTAGTGTGTAGAATTCCCACTCCTAATCAAGACTGTGTTACACATTTTGTCAAATGATCGTTGTTGCTGTAACTCTTGCTGTGCCTTCAGGGCACTTAATTTGATGTTCTCCTCTGTTTTGTCACTGTTGATATTTCTAATTACATGAGTTCTCTTAAGCTGTGCTTGCATTTGAATGGCTTTTGGCTAAAGTCTTGATTTTATTTTCAGAATAGTAAATTATGTGAATTTGAGACAACTTAACTGACTATTATCTACCTTTTCAGTTGCACGTTTCTTTTACCGCAATGTAATGTACTACATACAATTATAACTAGAATATTTGCTGGCAACAATTATTTGCTCAAATACTTTTTTCTTTAACGTGAAGTCCTATACCTGGAATGTTCTGAAGAGACGCCAGTGTGTCTCATAATATTAAAGTACATTAGCATAGAAGAGCTGACAAGGCTTTATTGATTTCTACTCTTATTATCTTGTTATTACACAAGAAAATATCTAAAGAGTCTGTTCGTTTAATCTGAAACAGTGGGTTTTAACTTCTGCGGAGGTTCCACTGAGCCAAAAATCCATAGTTTGCAGAATCATAATACTCAGAGGTTTTGGACTTGCCAAATTAAAAAATAAATAGTATTTAAAAGGCTCTTCTGGCCACATGTACGCTGCTCCTAGCAGGCTGACTACGGCTACTGAATACCTTTGAGGAACACGTAAGATCTTACTGCTATCCGGGTTAATAATGTAAAGGGAGAAACATACAGCAGACAAGAGTACAGTAGATTGTCTAAAACTGATGATAGCTTTTTTAATTATTGATTGTAGACAACATTAAGGTGCAATGATTAGAAAATTAAATAGTGGAGAGGGATTTTCTATTCTTCTTCCAATATAGAAAATAATAGTTGCTTCCTTCCTTTACTGTCCGTAGTTTAATTCCCCACAAAGTAGGACTGAGCAGATCTAAGTATCCATAGCTTAAACCCTTCAGGGAAGAAGAGTAATTGGATCAGTCCCACAAAGCTGGGCAAACAGATGTAGGAGAATTGTATGCAGGATGGCAGTGCTTTGAAGACCAATTGGCAGTACTTGCTGATATAATACAGCCAGTTCATCTTTTGTATCCTCTGTATTCAAAAGAAGGAAGTGTAATTTGACAGTACTAGTTAACGGTTGCTCTGGGTGACCTGGTCCTTGGTGACTCATAGAATCATAGAATGTTTTGGGTTGGAAGGGACCCCTAGAGGTCATCTAGTCCAACCCCCCTGCAGTGAGCAGGGACACCGCTAACTAGATCAGGTTGCTCAGAGCCCCGTCCACCCTGGCCTTGAACGCTTCCAGGGATGGGGCCTCCACTACCTCTCTGGGCAACCTGTTCCAGTGTTTCACCACCCTCATTGTAAAGAATTTCTTCCTTATATCTAGTCTAAACCTACCCTGGTTTAGTTTAAAACCATTACCCCTTGTCCTGTCACAGCTGGCCCTACTAAAAAGATT